GGTAAATATTTGTGCATATTAATTAATCACCTAATTTGCATAATTAACCAATTTCCAACTTTCACACTGATATCTCAGGTACTAATCATCACATATCAATGAATGTTTATACATGGATGCTGTAGGACAATAGACAGACCTGGATAATTGTGGGTTAAAATCTGTACATATTAATTACCCAATTTGCATAATTAACCAATTTTAAGCTTTCACACTGATATCTAAAGTACTAATTTCCATTTTAATGAAACTTAGTACAAAGATGCTCTAGGACAATGTACAAACCTAATTAGTTATGGGTAAAATTCTGTTCATATTATTTCCCTAATTAGCATAATAATTCATAATTTTTTGGTTCTAATCACATTTCAATTAAACTTGGTACATAGAGTTGTTGTTACATTGCGCAGACCTCATTAGTTTTACAATCAAATCTGTTCATGTTAATTTTCTGATTTGCATAATTAGTTTTCAGCTAAGTAATTTCAAATTATATTTAATGTGTCTCCAATACTCTCAGCACATGGAAGTTCTTTCTAAACTTTCTTTGATTTCATTTTGTGATGATATCTTTAATTCTCTAATTTTGATGAATATTTTTGATAAAAAGTGACATTTTCAACTTGTTATTGAAAACCACAAATCTGATTGCTATAATATTATTCATATAGGTACTACAGATAGACCTCTTTCAGATTGGTTCATTTTCTAATGATATCTTCAGTTCTTTATTTGAAATGTGCATTGCCAAGCTTGTGGTGGGTAAGTTTATATCGCAAAACTAGGCGTTGAGGTGTTCTTTTCGTCACATAAAACGAACTGATTAAACATGCGGAATTGTTATTGAAACAGACATTGATTGATTGTTTTCTCGAGTTGAACAGACGTGAGGTATAATTCAAACTTGTTTATTTGTACTCAACATGAACATCAATACGTTGTACAGCAAATACTTCTTGGTATAAAATATAGATCGTTAAATAATAGCTCCATGAGGAGTTGACATCGTAGAGAGCATAGAAAGGAGGGTGTGCATAACGAGCATCAAGTTGCGAAGTTACCATAGGAGGAATTACAGCGACGGCCTGAATCGGACTTCTCACGACAGCGCTTTGATTGGTGCTTACAAACGAAACGTAACACTGTCATTCCATATTAGAAGTGACACGCGACTAACACAAGGCAGAACTTTGGTGGGAATTTTGGGGGGTAAGCAGAGAGAACGCAATGGGAAACAATGTAGAGAACGTTTGGATATAGCGTCACGGTTGCTACAGAAACCGATCTAGTCTCTCAGGGTTCAACTCGTGGTTATCAAAACAATGTCTGAAATTACAAACTAACTTAGAACACATCATAGAGAAAGTAACATTTTCTCATGTTAGATAACTGCGCGTGACAAAGCTATCTCAGTTGAGAGGCTGCTTGTTTCATGTTTAACCTAAAAAAGTATAGGAAATAAATTGTAGGTTAGGTAAGGTTATCAGAACCCAACAGATTTTGCCTCGGGCAGGCAGCTTACAATTTGTGGATGCACTTCAAAATAAATACATTATACATGTAGTCAATGCTAATATTGGTATCATCTTTTCTCTATTAGTAATGTTTTCATAAATTATATTTTAATGATTCAGTACAAAACAAATGCGATTTTTGGTTTATTTTCTATTTTAGAGTAAATAGGGTATGCTTTTAGTTTGAATTTCTACTATGATAATTTGTAATATCATATAGATGCTATGTAAATAATAGTTTTGCATAATTTTTCTTAGGTGCTAATTGCATTCTGCATTCTGCAAAACATGCATTCTGAAATTATTAACTGACACAAAAATGTAACAAAAAAGAGAGATGTCTGGGACTTCATAAAATACATTGACAATTTGAGAACACACCAATCTGATTAAAATCTGATGTAGTGTACGGGCTTTAATTATTTTGGCTATAAACTTATTTTAATTTTATTTTTTATTATATTTGTTATTGATGCTTTTTTATTTTATTATTTTACTTTGAGATTTTTTTTTTTAATTCCGCCCTACCTACATCTGATCCGACGTCTATGTAAGTCCCGTTCAAATCTCGCGTAAGTAACAGCCAATCACAGCCCCCCTTTTATACAGGCTGTCGGTTGCTTACTTTTCAGTGTATACGGGCAATCTTTCTGTACATTATATTTTGCCCACTTGAATAAACCATTAATAGAAAATTGCTAGTATGTTTTTATTTGCAAAAGAAATTCCACAGCATTTTACATTTTTTGTCATTACATTGAATATTTTTTTCACTTCCAACAAATGTGTACACTTCCAGATACATCTTCGCCAGTCAAGGTTCGTTCATTCAGTCATCGCTTCAATTTTACATCACTGAGCATAATTATCTAGAATGGAAGCAAAAAAATAAGTAAATCGTAAT